TAGATAGATAGATAGATAGATAGATAGATAGATAGATAGATAGATAGATAGATAGATAGATAAGTTATCATTTGAAAGGCCTGCCACAAAGAAGGTTTTAAACTTTCCCATGGCCGGTGATTGGAGCTGCTGGCTGGAAGGGGGGAAGCAGAGAGACAAAGAGGAGTAGGTAGTGGCCCTTTAAACCGTACAATCCCTCCCTCCCATTTCCCCACCATAGAAAAAGGCATAGTAGAATAATAGAAAGTGTGGCAGGATGAAGACCCCAGAGAAAGGCCTTCACATTGAGTTTGACACCCCTGATCTAGGCAGAGGGGTTTTAAACCTAGCCCCTCTTTCCAAAGGAGTGACGCGTCTAACCCCTCTCTCTGCCTCCTTATAAAGACAGCCACCAAATCATTCCTGCGGCCCAACGTCATCAAGCCCGCCGCCCCCTGGCAAGTCGTTGACAAGACGGGGAAAGGAGGATCAGATGGCGACGTGGTGGCGCTTCCTCACCAAGACCACAAGGCCAAAGCCCCAACTTCTCCGAGGCTGCCCGGCACCCGCCGGAACTGCCTGAAGGCGGGAAGCGCCGCGGGGCGGGGCAGGCCGAGCCAGGCCGAAGTCTTGGAGTTACCCGATTCTCCGGATCCCGCCGACCCCGGGGAGGTTAGCGGGACAGAGGCTGGGCCCAGCGTGGTTCCGAAGAGAGAGGCGGCTCCGGAGGTTATTAATTTGGAGGAAGTGGGGCCCGATCGGGAGAGCCAAGAAGAAGAAGAAGAAGAAGAGGGAGATCGGACGCTTCCACCACAGCAGGACCCCAAACTTTTCCATTGCGCGAAGGAGAACATGCGGCTGGATCATCCGTACTTCCAGCCGGCGAAGGAGGAGGCACGGACTGGGGTCAATCCTCTCCCTTCTCAGCCTGGACCGTTGGAAAGAGAACTTGGGCCTTTGCCGAGGGTGTACCAGGGAGAGATTCCCGGGCCGGCTTTCCCCAGGCCCGAGCCTCAGCAGGATGGGATCCCAGGCCCCGCTTCCCCTCAACTAGCTCACCCCCCAGAGGAAAACGGAGGCCAGGAGGCGGTAATAAACGAGCAGGCCGGGCCGGCGTTTCCAGTCCAAGGGTCGCTGAATACCAGCTCCGGCGAGCTTCCCAAGCAGACGGCTACTCTGCTGGACAAAGACCTCCTTGTTTTACTCACCCGAGAAACGGTAAGTCTGACGGTTCACTTGAGCCCCGGTGGTTAGGAGGCAGTATTGCAGGCTGACTCTCTGCCCACTGCCAGGAGTTCGATCCTGACTGGCTGATGGTAGACTCGATTCATCAGAATAGATCTAAAAGGGAGCTTGGGAGTCTTCTAGGTCAAGCAGGAGACCCCCTACATCATTTTTGACCTTGAATGGCTTGACGGTTACCGTGTTTCCCCGAAAATTTTTGGGGAAACACGGTAAACAGTCGACCGGCAAGAAGCTAGTAATTCCTTGAATGGCTGGGGTGCAGGAGTGAGATTCAGCCGGTTCGGGAGAACCGGTAGCTCCGGTGATTAGGTGGGCCCGCCTGCCCGCCCGCCCCTGCGCTTCACTTACCTATATCCTCTCAGCTGATTTGCGCGGGCGAGCAGATGGTGGCGCCTCCGCTGTGTTGCTCCCCAGAAGTAATGTGGGAGGTAGGTTTTGTTAAAACTGCGCAGGCGCGACCACCGAACTGGTTGTTAAGCAGGGAGGATCTCACTGCTGACGGGGTGCCTGAAGGATTCAAACCCCCCCCCCACTTCCTCCTTTTCCAGGAAGCCAGGTTCCCAGATGCAACGAGAGAGTACATCGAAGAGCTGATCCAGAGCAAAAACTGCAACGACTTAAACATGTAAGTGTCAAAGGGTGGGCGGGTCGTCCTTCGGCCAGGCAACCTGGCCCAGAACTTGCAAAACGTGTGGCGAGATTCCCCCTTCCTTGCGACCCAACAAAAGATGATTCTGATCTCGTGTCCCGGATCTCTCGCCTGAGCCCTTTTCGTTTGGTCTAGACCAGGGGGTGTCACACTCGATTTCATTGAGGGCCGCATCAGGGTTGTGTTTGATCTCCGGGGGGGGGGGGGGTAGGGGGGTCAGGGGAGGGCGTGGCCAGCTTAACATCACTTGTATTGCCAAGTGCTGACAGGACTTCCCTCAGACCCTCCCTCCCTCTCATTATAATCTCCCTTCTTTCCTTCCTTCCTCCCTTCTCTTCTTTTTCCTTCCCTCTCCATTCTCCTTTCTCATTCCTTCCCATCTTTCCTTCCTTCCTCCATCCTTCCTTCATCTCCCTTCCTTCCTTCATCTCCCTTCCTTCCTTCCTACCTACCTACCTACCTACCTACCTCCATCTCCCTTCCTTCCTCCTTCCTTCCTTCTCTTCTTTTTCCTTCCCTCTTCATTCTCCTTTCTCCTTCCCCTCTTTCCTTCCTTCCTTCTTCTTTCATCTCCCTCCCTCCTTCCTTCATCTTCCTACCTTCCTTCTCTTCTTTTTCCTCTCCTCTTCATTCTCCTTTCTTCCCCTCTTTCCTTCCTTCCTTCCTCTCTCCCTCCCTCCCCTTCCTTTTCCTTCCCTCTTCATTCTCCTTCCTCTCCCTCTTTCCTTCCTTCTTCTTTCATCTCTCTCCCTCCTTCCTTCATTTTCCTACCTTCCTTCCTTCTCTTCTTTGTCCTCCCCTCTTCATTCTCCTGTCTCCTTTCTTCCCTTTGTTCCTCCCTCCCTCCTTCCTTTCCTTCTCTTCTTTTTTCTTTCCCTCTTTTCTCCTTCCCCTCTTTCCTTCTTTCCTCTCTCCTTCCTTCTTTCCTTCTCTTCCTTTTCCTCTCCTTTTCATTCTCCTTCCTTCCCCTCTGTTCTTCTTTTTCCTTCCCTGCTCTCTTCCCGTCCTCCCTTCTTTTTCTTCCTCTTTCCCTTTCTCCTTTCCCGTCCCTTCTTAAATGCTCGAAGGCTTTTCCTTTTGCTTTGCTTTAAGTTTGTTTTGCTAGCCCTCTTCCAACTAGCCAGAGGGAGCTCCGTTTTCACTGACAAGACCCACCACGGGCCGGTCTTTTGCTGTTTCCAGCGCAACCCCTCGGGCCAGATCTAAGCACCCCGCAGCCCCTGGTCTAGACTAACCAATCGAGTACCCCAAATATCTTAGTCCCACAACTACCCCCCCCCCTAAGTGCCTGGACGTTTTTAATGTTTGATGGACAGGGGGCAGGTTCTCCAGAAAGCAGCTCCTTCTCATCTCTTTTTGCTTTTTTCAGACTCTGTAATTTTCTTCTGGAAAATCCAGACTATCCAAAGAAGGAACTCAATATGGTTTTAAATCCAAATAGCAGCCTGCTTTCCAGCCAAGACGAGACAAAGGCAAGTTTGAGGATTTTTCCCCTCTCTGTTTTCAATCCTTTGTTGTTGTTCTTGTTGTTTTTACGGTCCTTTGTCTAACGACAGTTCGAAGTTACAGTCGCCCTGAAAACAGGTTAACTTGGGACCAGTCCTCGCGCTTACGACCGTCACAGTGTCCCCCCCCCCCAAGGTCACGAGATCAGAATCCAGGCGCTGGGCAACTAGCCCGTATTCACGATGGTTGGCAGCGTCCTGGGGGGGGGGGGCTTTGATGGGTTAACGGGTTAACTCTGCCAAGCTGGCTTTGGGCACGCAAAGTCAATGGGGCAAGCGGGATTCGCTTAATGCCTGCGTGGTTTGCTTAAGAACCGTGGCGGGAAAGGCTGTGAAATCGGGTGTGGCTCATTTAACAACCTGCCTTGCTTAGCAAGGGAAATCCTGGTCCCAAATGTAAGCCATAAGAGGTGGAGGGGGGGTGTATGCATCTTCAGTACTGCCTTAAAAATTCTAAAGTGTACCTAAGAAAATTTACCTAAAAAATACCTAACTTCTTTTGTGTTTTCATCCTTTTCCTCCTCCTCCTCTTTCTCCTCTTTTTCTTTCCTTCTCCTCCCTCTTCCTCCTCTTTTTACTCCCTCTTCCTCCTCCTTTTCATCCTATTTTTTCTCCTCCCTCTTCCTCCTTCTCTTCCTCCCTCTTCCTCCTCCTCTTCCTTCCTCTTCTTCCCTCCTTCTCCTCTTCTTCTCCTAGTTCCTCCTCTTTATCCTCCTATTCTTCCTCATCGTCTTCCTCCTTCCTCCTCCTCCCTCCTCCTCTTCCTCCCTCTTCTCCTTTTCCTCCTCCTCTTCTGCCTCCTCCCTCTTCCCCTTCCTTTTCCTTCCTATTCCCCCCTCTTCCTCCTCTTTTTCTTTCCTTCTCCTCCCTCTTCCTCCTTTTTTCCTCCCTCTTCCTCCTCCTTTTCATCCTATTCTTCCTCCTCTTCTTCCTCTTCCCTCTTCCTCTTCCTCTTCTTCCTCCTCCTTTTCCTCCTCTTCTCCTCCCTCTTCCTCTTTTTCCTTCCTTCTCCTCCCTCTTCCCCCCTTTTTTTCCTTCTCCTTCTCCTTCCTACTCCTTTTCCTCCTCTTCCTCCTTTTCCTCCTATTCTTCCTCCTCCTCCCTCTTCCTCCTTTCCCTCCCTCTGCTTCCTCCTCTTTTTCCTCCTTCTCTTCCTTCCTTTTCTTCCCACCTTCTCCTCCGTCTTCCTCCTCTTTCCTTCCTCCTCCCTCTTCCTCCTTTTCCTCCTCTTCTTCCTCCTCCTCTTCCTCCCTCTTCTTCCTCCTCCTTTTCCTCCTCTTCCATTTCTTCCCTCCTTCTCCTCTTCCTCCTCCTTCTTCCTCCTCCTTTTCCTCCCTGCCTCCTCCTCTTTTTCCTCCCCCCCCTCCTCCTCCTCCTCCTCCTCCTCCTCTTCACCCTTTAGGTGCCTAAAGTGGACTATTTTGACTTCTCCAAACTGGATCCGCTCGACCAACGTTGCTTCATTCAAGCCGCCGACCTCCTCATGGCCGACTTCAAAATGCTGAGCAGCCAAGACATCAAGTGGGCCCTCCACGAACTCAAGGGACACTATGCAATCACACGAAAGGTCCTCGCCTCTTGCTTCTCCTTCCTTCCTTCCTTGCTAGGAACCTCCCCTCTTTTAATGTCCGAAAGGGAGACGCGGAGGCCAGGCTCAAAAAAGAAACCCCTTAGGTGCCCGGAATTCAAAGGCCTCTGATATGGGTAGTCCTCGACTTATGACCCATTGCTGAGTGGGAGAGTTGTTAAAGTGAGCTTTGCCTCCTTTTGCAACCTTCCTCGCCACAGTTGTTAAGTGAATCGCTGCGGCTCTTAAGGGAGTGACCTGGCTGTTAAGCGAATATGGCTTCCCCGTCGCAAAAGGAGGATCAGGTCGTTATGCAAGCGTCATAAATATGACTCGGCCAATTGCGGGTCCGAATTTGGATCACGTGACCAGGGGGATGGTGCAGCTGTCTGTCGTTAAGTGTGAGAACAATTGTACGTCTCTCTTTTTTTTCCCCCAATGCTGTTGCAACTTTGGTCACTGAATGAATGGTTGTAAGTTAGGGACGGCTAGGGATGTGGTGGCTCAGGGGGCTAAGACGCTGAGCTTGTCGATCAGAAAGGTCGGCAGTTGGGCGGTTCGAATCCCTAGCGCTGCGTAACAAGAGTTCATTTCATTTCGTTTATTGAATTTCTAGGCCGCCCAATCCCGAAGGACTCCGGGCGGCTTACAGAAATGAAAAATATTAAAGAAGAATTAAAACAATAAGACACAACAAANAAAAAAATTTGCCTCCTCAAAACCTTGGTGCGTCTTATACTCTGGTGCGTCTTATACTCGGGTGTGTCTTATACTCAGGTGCGTCTTATACTCTGAAAAATACGGGTATATACCAGGATGGACTAATCACTAATGGATCTATTGTCTTAATATTGTCCCACAACAACCTTAACTAGCTGCCAGGTTAGAACATCAACCCTCTGATGCCACTAGATAATCATCATTCTTCATACATATATCTTTTGTGTTCATTTCAAATGATTATTTTAGAAATCTGATTAAGATAATCTCTTTTATTTCATCATTTTCTAAATTATTTTTCATCTTCTATTAGATGAGATTGTGTGGTGTAGCATAAAATGAATAGGGTCCTTTCAACTGCATAAGAGAATATGATAACATTTTGGTTTAAGGAAGGAAAGGGAATTTTTATGTTTCCTTTTTGTGAAAAGGTAGGCAGGGAGAAAAATAATGATTTGAAAGCATTCATCTTATTTCTCTTTTCTTCTTGGCCCATTCTGTGCTTTACTCTAATGTCTGGTAAACTTTCTTATAATATACAAAGATATGAATATCTACTAATGAACTAATGAGTTGAAAGGAGGTAAAGTTAACTCAGCCCACATATTTGTTATCATTTTATTATATTTTTGCATTCAACATTTCTTAAAGTTATTTGTCAGTTCTGAAGTCTAATTTATATTGTCTTTTTATTTTATCTTTCAGATTGTGATACAGATGCAAGACTTTGGGAGAAAGTATATTAAAGCCTTTTTGAAAGGTTTTTTTGTTGCTGTTCCTGTGACTGTCACTTTCCTCGACAGAGTGGCTTGTATAGCGAGAGTAGAAGGGACTTCAATGCAGGTAATTAGGATCTTTTCTGCTGTGTTCATTTTTAGGTACCGTGTTTTCCCGAAAATACAAGCTGCCCCGAAAATAAGCCCTAGCCTGATTTTTTGGGTTGGATCTAATATAAGCCCTACCCCCAAAATAAGCCCTAGTGAATGGGGTCGGCGTGGCCAGCACAGGAGGCAGCCCTTCTCTTCCCCGTCACCTCACGGCTACTTGGCCCCTTAATTGCAGCCCGTGGATCAGCTCATCCAGTAAGGACTAGGATGTCTGTCTCTTCAAGTGCCTGGAGATTTTTCCAGCATGCTCTTACTAGCCCCAGCCCTGCCCACGGTGCCAGGCAACCTTGCAGCTGAGGCGAATGTGAGAAATGGGCTCCCTTGCAACACCTCCTCTCTGGGCCTTACCTGCCTCAGAAGCCAGGGATCCTGCAGAATCCCGGCTATGTAAGTGCTGCCCAAATCCCCGGGTTGTTCACAACTAGAGCGAGCCATACAGCCGCTCCAACTACCTGCCTGTCCACCACACCTGGGCCTGCTGGGCACTGTCCGCCTCCAACCAAGTGGCGGGGAGGCTTCGGTACAGTGCCCTTTGCTACCCTGGCAAAGGCGAAGCGGAAGCAGGTGGGAGAGCATGGGGGGCTCCTCCAATGGCTTCCCCAGCCCCGGCACTGCTGGCTGTGGCCCATACAGGAAGTGTGGGTATGGGTTGAGCTTGGCGTTTCACCTTCCTGCCTTTTGCAAACTTTTGGCTGCACACAAGGAAAGCAGAAGTAGCAGAGACCTGGCTTGTTTCTGTCCCCCAAACTCCACGCAGGAATGGGAGCACCGTCGTGACGTTTGTCATACCGGTTAAGCCTCTTGGAGCAGGACCCTGCAAGACTTGTGGCGTTGCACCTGTGAACAGCACCACAATTACGAGCTTCACACCAGTGCAGCTAGTGTCCTGCTGCTCGTGACTGCACTGGTATGTCAAACAACAAGCGCACAACAAGTGTTCCAATGTTCTGCTCCAAAATGCTACGCCAGCGCGACGAGTCTCACAAAGACTCATTTCTGGCAGAGTTTGGGGGAGAGAAAGAAAGACCAGGGTCTTCACTGCTTGTTCTGAAAATATTTGAGAATCCGACCAGAGAGAAGGGGTACGGATTTCCATGCCTTCCTTTATGGGAGGTTGCTTCACACCTGCGACATCAGAAGGAGCCCTGTGAGGAGATGCTGCTGCTGTCCACAGAGACACAGAGCAAAGTTCATTGAAGACACTCACCCCTGGAGATGAATCAGGTGCTTTGCTGGAAAAGCCACCCCACTCCAGCCCAGGCTTCCTAAATCTCTCGCTTTCCAGATTGTCCCGTCAC